ATAATACATGTTTAATAATTATTTATAATCCATAAATACATGCGATTGTCCGGTTCCGCCGATAACAATTTAAAATTACTTATTCTATGAAACGACACTGGCAGGTAAACATTACTGTGAAATTCTCGGAGTCGTTCGACGTGGTTTGAACGTTTACCCCCTCTCTACCTACCAAAGGACTTTTCAACTTTTACTTTCTCTATATGCGTGATTCAGCCTTCCACTCTTACACACGTAAATGATAAGGAGAGGTTGCCCTAAAGCACTGTAAACAAATTCGAGGATCGACTTTATTCAGCGATTATGTTCATGTTCGCAGCTCTGTTTTTTGTTTGTGTTTTGGCTGTTGTAAGATTTTTTGGCGTCAATTCTTTGTTATCTTGCTTATATTTATGATTTTTTATGCTTTTATTCCGATTTAGTATTAAATTATACTTGTTAATTATTTTTCGATGCACTATTTTATAATTGTTGCACAAAATGTTGTTAAACCGTCCCTGAATTTTGTTTACAAAATGGGCAAAACGAAATTGTGCAATGCTGCGTTTGAGAATCCACATCGGATGCATTTTTTACATCTCGAGTGTTTTTTTATCCACATCGGACACATCTACTACATCTACATCTGCGTTTTTTTTATCCCAGATGTTGTTCAGATTACATTTTTTACATCTCGATTTGAAATGAGATGTGAATGAGATGTTTGTTCCATGCTAGAAAGTAAGTGTTCTGTGAAGCCTTGTTTGTCAATTTTTCCTTTGTTTATGCTAGCATGAATATAAAAGTGATTAGTTTGCTTAATTCTTGTTTATATTTCAAATTTAGTTTGATTTGTAGTCTCAAAAGTCAAATTTAATAAGTATAAACTTCTAACTTGTCATTGACATTTGTCACGTGACCAAATAAAGTCTAGAGCGTTTGTTTATTACATCTACATTCAGATCTAATTCTCTATCACGTGATAAAAAATTCACAACATCTCAGATGCATCCGATGTGGATTCTCAAACGCGGCAATAGTGTCCAGACTTTTTCATTGACAGTTATCATTCTACCCCTCTCCACTTCATTGTTTCAAATCGAGATGTAAAAAAATGTAATCTGAACAGGTACATCTGGGATAAACAAATTAACGCAGATGTAGATGTGTCCGATGTGGATAAAAAAACGCTCGAGATGTAAAAAATGCATCCGATGTGGATTCTCAAACGCAAAAGTCGTACGTACGATTAAACCAAGAAATTTAAGTTTTCTTATCAAAACGCCCGTGTATGTTATAACGTTGTATGAAGATTATATAGTAGGGTAACCTTATGGACTTATCATTGGAGGACGATGGATATAGAATGTAGATGGCGACACTGTACTTATATCCAAGTCAGGTCTTTAGGTCATGTCTGTGCTTGAGTATGAATTATAATTTAAAATCTTCTTTTTCATTTATACTTGTCTTCGGTAATGTATTTGTATAGTTAATATTTACTATTGCAAATTATTACAAAAGGGTATTTGAAGGTCACATAAAATACCAAAAAAATCAATATAATAAAATAAACCAGTTTTTGTTTGAAAAAGATTGAATGATTTAAGATTGGATGGAATTTTACTATAATAGGGGAACATTTTTTTTTCTATATTGTGGTTTGATTTTGGATTGATCGCTGATGGTTAATTAAAACTTGAATTTTACGCTGTTTATTTTTATTCACTTTTATATAATGGTATCAAATTAAGAATAGGACATGAACAACTGAAGATTATTGTTCAAAATGAGTCGAATAGACAAATATAAAAAATGCTTGGATAAAATATTCTGAAATACAGGATGTTAAGTTGAAAATTAAAAAATTAATAATGGGTAAATATAAAGGTGTAGTTATAATTTTTTTATTCAATATAATTTTACTAAAATCGGCACTGACAAAATTTAACTAACAGTTTTTTTTGCTGTTAGGTAAACTTATAATACCAAACACTTTTAGTGAAATTATACTAAGTAATAAAAACATTTAAGCCACTAATTTTCAGTTTTCAACTTTTATCACCATTTGAAAACGAATCGAGAACCAATTTATGATAGCACAGTAGCACATTTAGGAGTATTATTTTCGAAAGGCAAAATTACAAATTTTTCATTTATTTTTTTGTACATGGAAATACTTTCCTGCATGCCCTACAGTGATGAAGCGCTCAACGAAGGCGTCTTAAAAAATAAATTATAGAAAATGCGAATGTTACATATTTGATTAGATAATTAACATTGACATAAACCTTCATTGCTCAGGACGTTAAGTGCTCAACTTTGGATTTCATAAAGTTCAGTTACCAACTACTACTATTTTTTCTGAACTGTTATCAAAATACTATAAAATTTAGCAGAAACATTGCATTAATTGTATTTTTTATATTTTTTCCAAAATAAAGAATGTTTTTATCTGTAATTGAATCCGGGTTGGGAAATCCAAACTTGAACGCTTAACGACTTAAGTCTTGAAGGCACTTATATCAAGTTAATTATCTAATCAAATATATGACGTGGCTTTTAAAAATACCATCATTGTGCGCTCCACTGCTGGTGTGTCCATCTTCTACAAGAGAAAAAGAAGGAAACATTTGTAAAGTTGTCTTGCACAAATGTGTACCAAAAATGGGCAACTGGCTCTCATAAGCCTTTTTCGTTTAATCGTCTTATTATTTGAACACTAAACGCCAGCATGAGAAATATATGTTAAAGTTAGTTTTAAGAACTTTTAACATTCAAATAAACAAAAACAATTTATAAATCTATTATTAAAATCCGCGTTGGAACAAAACATGTAAAATTGTTGAATTTGAAAGATATTCTAAAAAGGGAAAGGACTTCGGTCGAGAGCCTATTGGACAGAATATTCAGTTCAATCAATGACAATTATTTATATTACTATTCTTAAATATTTTGTTGTTTAATTTACTTGTAAATTTATGTGTGAATATATTTATAAATTACACTGGTCACCAGTGATTTTGTGGACGGGGGTTTAAGAGCGTTTTTGGGCGATCGTTTTACCGATTTCAAATCGCTTCTCCAGCCTATAAATCTTCAATTTAAAAAGAATAAAATAAAGTAGTTCTGTCTAAAACTAAAATAAATTTGCTATCTCGATTATTTCCAAACTTTTCCTTAACGCCTTAGTTATAAGTTTCATATTACATTTTTTTTATTTGCTATTTCTGTGGAATCATTAATTTTCACTTGCGTTCTGGTTCTTCTAAAAAAGCGAAATGTTACTCACGTTTTGCTTAATTGGCTTTAATTTTTTAGATAGTCAACCAGTCGAAATAAAAAAAATTCAAAAAATAATAAGACATATTATTTAATCAGTTTTGTCTGAGCCCCAGTCTGAGCTAACTAAAAGGCTGTATTCTATAAACAATGAAAAATAGTGATTGTTTTTTGAACTACTTAAAACATTTTCACTCAAACTGCGTGCGTGATTCAATTTAAAAATACTTTCCAGAATAAAACCACGTGTTACAGTTTTGACTTTATTACTAAACAGCCCAGTCATATACAAAAACATTAATCCAAAATCTAAATTAAAAGTACCTAATAATAAATTGCCTATCTACTAGGGTCGGTAACCAAATGTATAAACAGAATGGGCGGATTTTGTTCATACTTAACATTACACTCCGCACTGACACTTAACCTGGATTAAATATAACTATAAATACAAATATTTACAAACAAATATACTTTTCCAAACAGTGATAATTTATAAAAAAAATGTTTTTTATAAGATTTTCTTTTATGTTCAAAGTTAGGACTTTATAATTATTGTGTCGTTCGTAGAATTCTGTACTAAATAAGAGCACTGATTTTGGAAATAAATTTTCACCATTTTGGCAAGTTGTTGAACCTTGTAACATTGCATAATGAAATATAAAGACTAACTGAATATGTCTGCCACAGATAGACCACTTGTAGGTCTATCGATTTCGTCTTGAGCTATTCCTAAAGAGCGGAGCTATTGAAAACTTCGTTTCAACGTGATTTATTTCAACACTCAGAGCCAGCCGAGAGAACATTTTTTCTTATATTCATGGTCAACAGCCAAGATACATTTGGAAGTCGCTAATATATCCCTGTGACTATTTTTTTTAATTTGTTTTCCAGTGTTGATTGTTGATTGATTTTTCCCTGATTAGTGATTTTCTTGTTCCTTAACTCAATACCTTGCAAACTGTTGATAGCTTTAGTAAAATTTTGTAGCAAAGCTTGTTCAAATTTTGAAAACTATAAAAATATTCAGCTATTTTTATGGTTATAAACTTTTCCAACACTTAGTCCAATTAGTCCAATTACATGCAACATTTTCAGAAGCTTATTCCTTTTTTGTATTCTACTTGGAACTTTTCAATTTATTTAAAACATTGGACATTGTTATCAGTTGTTATTGTTTATATATTTTGACATAACCGCACATAACCAAAATATTAACCAAAGTCCTTAACCACTTTTTATCACCTTAATCCAAAAATTATATTTGTACGGTTTTGTCAACTGGAATAAATTTTCATTATTATGTTTAATTTTTCATATCTTTTATTATGAATTGTTATTTTTAAATAAATAAAGACGTTTTTAACTATAATAGGTAGGTGATAGAAGCCATGTACCTGAACGAAAAGAAGACGTAGATGGCGTATCTGCATAGGATTAAAAATTGACTACTTCATTAAATCGTCACTAGATGCCGCTCGAGATTGCGTCCAACACTTTTTACTGTTGCATTATCCTACTATATAATCTTCATACAACGGTTATAAGATCTCATTACGTGCGTGTTATTGTTAAATGTCATTTACAAGGAATGTTGACAGTGCGATTTTTAACGTTTACTGACAAGGGCTTAGAAAAATTCATTTAAATATATGTGAGGTTCTGCGGTGACGTCACATATTGACACGTGGCAATAGCGCATTTCAGTCAGCTTGACATTTGACAACAAATATGTCAAAGTCAATTGTCATCACTCACCACTTTTTATTTTGTGATTGAGAAACAGGATAATAAATATTCAATATCAGTTCATAAATAAAATTAATAATTATTATAGATTATAAAAGAAATATGCCTGCGACCTTCATTCATAGAAGTATATTAACTGTTGGATTTTTATCATTATTCCACGCCGCGTATTCAGCAGCCCAACGTAAGTATTTACTTAAAAAGGTGCATTAATGAATTTACAATTAAATATTTCTATTCTCTTTCAGACAGGTCATATCTTCGATTAAACGATTTAGACTTTACACATCTACCACTAGACGTAAGAACTTATAAATCAATAAGTTATGATAATGTATAAATTTATAATTATTACATGTTTTAGATATTTTTACAAGCCCTAGTTAGTCTGTTCATTATAATGTATGGCGTATTAAATATAACCGGAGATTTCAAAGAAATTAAAGCTGCAGCGGAGTTAGATAACAAGTCATGGGAAACGTTTAGAAATATACCATCTTTTTACATATTTAATCATCGTGGTGGTAAATCTTCTCCAGTGTTAACAAAGACCAGTTTAGAGGAAATTGAATAAAAACAATAGGAACCAAGTAACTGTTAGATCTTTTCTATAAGTATTATAATAAAATTAAAAACTCAGTTGGATTTTTTTTCTCTAAAATTGATTTATGGCTCCATATTAGGTGAATTTGGATAGTCAGGGCCTGAAGCGAAGTTCTTATGGTGCTTTTAACTGCCATTTAAGCATATTGAACTGTCACTATCGGAATAAATAAACACTAAAAGGGTAATTTGGAAATAAAAATCCTCACTCAAAATTATGTTTTTAGAACTGTAACCCAAGATCAAGCTGTATTAAATCTTCTGCCGTTGGATCAAGTGGAATTCACATAAACTTTATTTTTTGTTGTCCTTTCATACTTACCTCACTTAATATCAAAAAAGATATGGACAAAAGCACTATTGTAATTAAAAATACAAATTAATACTAAATAGTTTCACAAAATAATTCTACTCTTTACAGTTTTAAATTTGTCTATTACAAATCAATATTAGATGCACAGTCCCATTCAATATTTAGTAATGCTATATTTGTCCTTAGACATGGTCGACCTATAAAAATATAATATTTGTTAGTTTATTAAAAGACATTTCGCCTGTTGCAGTGTTTAGCAATTGTTAATAAAAAAATAATAGATATATTTTGCATAAATTAGGAAACCTGATTCCATTTTTTTTTAATTAGGAAATTCAGTTTTTAATTTATATTCCTCATTTATTTCAGAACTGAATACCTTGATAATTTATAATACTTTCTGAGCCTTTATTTTTAATCTGATTTTTGTGAAATTTTCAGGAAATAATTAAACTTAGGGTGCCTTTTGTAAACCTTTGAAAAGTATTTTGAAAATTTTTAAAAAGAATAAAAAAAAACATTTACGTGCCATAATGTATTAAATTTATGAAAATTTACTGCTTTTTTAATTGGATTTTCCCACCTTTTTCTCAAACATCTCTGTAGAGTGCTGCAATATCCTTGCACAAATTTAAAGCTCTCAATATTTTCGATGTGCTTAATATCACTAAGTATTCCCAGTGTCACACATATAAATACAATTTTATATTAGAAATCCCTTAAAACATTTTTGCTTTCGCAAGAGTTCCAGTTTGCTCTTAATAGACTACAAAACGATTTGTATTCAACTATTTCCAGTTAGATAGAAGATAAGCATGAAATTTAGTTTGTAATCAGAAAAGTCATCAAATGTGTTGTTTGAATAAATGTATCCATACAAAAATATACAACTAGGGCAATTTTCTATGTATCCAAAGGTGTTTTTCATAGTGAATAAGTTTTCAACGGATTTTTACTTTCCTATCTGTATACAGATAAGGAAAGTATAGGAATCATGATTTTTTTCGACCTCCAGTTTTCGACGAATTTTTACGTTTTGGGGTCCCGTGAATCCGTTTTGACTATTTTTGGAATGATGTGTGTGTGTGTCTGTATCCACCATAACTCATGAACCGATACAAAGAAAAACACCAAATTTTAAACTTAAGCTTTGTTTCGGCCTGCGGTGAACTGATTAGATTTTGGGCAGAGTCAGAACATTTGGGGGGTACTTTATTGGTGGTCATTTTTATATTTTATGGAATATATCCGTTATTTACGTTTGGAGAAGAAAATTCTTTAAATAAAAGTTACTTATAATATAATTCTCTATAATTTTTATCCTGTACATAATTTCTATAAAATGGACCGTATTCGAGATATTTAAGAAAATGTGTAAATTTTGAATTTTGTAAAAAAACTCAAAAACAGATAAAGGAAAAAACATTAAATTATTACTTCGGCTTAACGTGAAATGATTAGATTTTGGACAAAGTCGGAACATCTGGGGGGTACTTTATGGGAGGCCGTTTTTATATTTTATGGAATATATCTGTTATTTATGTTCGGAGAAGAAAATTGTTTAAATAAAAATTACCAAGAAAATTGTTAAACTTAAAATTGTTTTCGATATCGATCTCTATAATTTTTGTTTTTTACAAGATTTTTCTAAAATACACCGTAATAGAAAAATTGGAGGAATAGTGCTAAATTTAAATTTTTCAGTATTTTCGTTTTCAATGAATATCTATAGAAAAATGTTTCGAGTTATATGTATGTGGAAAATGTATATATTTAGTTTATCCTTTAAACATTTATATACCCAGCAAACATTTTCTATAACATTAGTTATAACTCGACTTTGTTAAAGACGAATTTACTTATTGAGGTAATTATTACGTAAAATTTACTAGAAAATTATACATCTAATGTAAATTTACCAAACGGTTTTAATTTATATTTAAATTTACGTAAATTATACCAAGAAATCTACCTTCTACACAAATCTGCTTAAAAGTAACTTTAACCATATCAGCAAGGGAAAAACTAAAAAAAATAACCAACAATTACTTCAAAGTTAAATTTTCTTTGTAGTAAAATTAGGTGCCATATTTAGGTAATATCTACCTGTTTGGCAACTAAAAATCGTCTTTATAGTAGAATATCCAACTAGCTAGATTTACTTAAAAATTCTACGTAATTTTATGCCTCCATAGTGTTAGGGAACGCCGCCACTGGCAGAATTTAGCGGACCGATGAGCGGCCTGTCCTTATCGGATTGATAAGAAATAAATTCTTGGGAAGATTGGTCATTGATTTTTTGTACTGAAGTAAAACGTTGTGTTAAAAATACAAAAGTGTTGAATATTTTCAACTGCGTTGTTTCATTTTTAAAAAGGGTATTACAAGTCAGAAGTGCGGATTACATACGTCTAACAATGGAAAAATCCAAGAAAAGAAGTCGACGATATAGTAGTTCCTCTAGTTCTTCGAGTGAAAATAATACCGAGTCAAATGAGGAAACAGGTGAAAAAGTTAAAAAAACAATTAAAAGGAAAAGATAAATTACTAGGAAAACAAACTGTAAGTACGTCTTTACACATTGATGAAGTGCTAATACCAATTTTTGATCCATCTTATGAAAATACTTCGGCTACAGAGTGGACAAATAAAGTAGATCAGTTGTGCAATATTTATAAATGGGATGATAAATTGACCACAAAGTTGGCAACGTCTAGACTTAGGGGTAATGCTAGGCGATGGTATGAATCATTGAAAGAACAAATTAAAAATTGGGAAAACATAAAAATTGTATTGTTGGAGACATTTCCTAGTGTTATTAAGTTCGGGAAATTGTTTGTAGAAGCCGCTAATTATGTTCATTCGCCCAACCAAAAACTTAGTGACTATTGCTTTGAAAAATTAGCGCGATTACGTAAATTAAATTTACAAATAAATGAAGAAAATGTTATTGACTGTATTATCAAGGGTATTGGTAATGAGAACATTAAATTATCTGCTAGGGCAGCAAATTTTAAATCTATAGGATTATTAGCTAATTACCTAGATCATGCAAATCAAAATTATATTTCCGTTCCCAAAAAAAATATTTTCAATACCAATACTCCCGGAACATCTAAAATAATAAAACCTGAGCTAAAACATGACACTAAAGATGAAATGTATAAACTAAAGCCTGCATAATAATATGGTAAGGGAAAGACTTGTTTTAATTGTAAAGGACCTCATCTAATTAAAGATTGTCCCAAATCTATTGCGAAATGTGAAACGTGTAACAAAGCAGGTCATACCAAAGAACAGTGTTACCGAAACAAAACTAAGCAAGAAAAAATAAACTTGGTTGACACAATCTTAAATAAAAATATTTATGAAAAGAATATATTTGTTAACAATACATTAATAGAGAAATGTTTAGTCGACACAGGGAGTTCTTGCACATTGATAAAAAAATCGGTTGCTGAAAATTTAATGTTAAATAATATTTCTTCAGTTAATTCTATATATTTGAAAAGTTTTATGGGAAATTACATGTCCTGTAGCAAGGTGTGTAGTGTAGATATTAAAATTGATCATTCTTATGGAAACGTAAATGCTTCTGTAATCGACGATAATTATCTATCCTATAATATTATTATAGGATGTGACTATTTGAATCAACCTCAAATAGCCATGCTTAAACTAAATAATGAGTTCGGGCTTAAAAATGTACCCATTAATGTTCAAAATGTATCCCAAAATCAACTAACAATCGATATGATGCATTTTGGAAACATAAGTGATCAAGATAAAAATTATGTTTTAAATTTGTTAAATGAGTATAGTGATAGAATTTCTTTTGGTTTGAAGGATTTGGGTAAAACAGACATGGTTAAAATGTCTATAACTTGTAACTCTAATGAACCAGTGGTCTATAATCCCTACCAAATGTCTAAACATGAAAAAGAAATTCTAGACAGTATATTACAAGACCTTTTAAATAATGGAATAATAAGAGAATCGAAATCCGCATACGCTAGTCCCGTCATCTTGGTTAAAAAGAAACCCAACGATTACCGTCTTTGTATCGATTATCGTCGGTTGAATGCTGTTACGATTAAGGAAAAGTATCCGTTGCCCTTAATAGATGACCAAATAGATATGTTAGGTGGTAATAAATATTTTATAACTTTAGATTTGGCTTCCGGATATTACCAAATACCCATGGAACAAGATTCAATCGACAAGACGGCATTTATAACACCTATGAATCATTACGAGTTTTTGAGAATGCCATTTGGACTAGTGAATGCACCCGCTGTTTTCCAAAGATTAATTAATACTGTACTTAGAGATTATTTAAACAAAATTGTTCACGCGTATATAGATGACCTTATTATTCCAGCACTTACAGTGGAACAGGGCTTATCTAGATTAAAAATTGTTCTAGATGCATTGGGGCATGCTAATCTGACCCTTAAGACAAGCAAATGCAGTTTCTTAAAATCTAAAATCTCATATTTGGGAAGAGAAATTAGTGAACACGGTGTTCAACCCGGTCAAGAAAAAATAAAAGCAGTTATAAATTTAAAATATCCTACAAACATAAAGGAAATAAGACAATTTTTGGGAATTTCGGGTTATTTCCAAAAGTATGTTCCAAATTATGCTACGTTGGTGGAACCTATCACCAGACTATTAAGAAAAGATGCTGCATTTGTTTGGTCAACCGAGCAGGAGAATGCTTTCAGTAAAGTGAAATCAATTCTAGTCTCACGTCCAGTTTTGACAATATTTGATCACACGCTTAATACGGAATTACATACAAATGCCAGTAGCTTAGGGTTTGGCGGTATATTAATTCAGTTTAAGGATAAACAAAAACAAGTTGTAGGGTACTTCAGCAAACAAACTAGCCCAGAACAACGTAATTATCATTCCTATGGGTTAGAAACTTTAGCTGTAGTATTAGCTTTAAGATTTTTTCGAGTGTATTTATTAGGTATTAAGTTTACGATAGTGACTGACTGTACAGCGTTGCGTGCGGCTTTTACGAAAAGGGATTTAGTACCAAGAGTGGCTCGATGGTGGCTTGAGGTGCAGGATTATGACTTTACAATTATGCATCGACCAGGTTCTAAAATGGAACATGTAGACGCATTAAGCCGCAATCCTTTACCTGAATATTTACATGTTTCGGCCATAGACATTACTGAGGCTGACTGGATCACAGCAGCCCAAGTACAAGATGAACAGATTAGTGGTATTCGCAATATATTAATGGAAGGGATTGTTAACAGGGATACTAAGCAGTATTTTGATAACTACGAATTGCGTGACGGTAAAATCTACAGAAAGGTGACGGGTGGAAAGTTTTTGTGGGTGGTACCCAAAGCGTCAAGGTGGCAAATCTGTAAACTGTGCCACGATGACAGTGGACATTTCGGATTCGTTAAGACTTTTAAGAAAATACAAGAAAATTATTGGTTTGCAGGGGCACGTAAATTTGTAAAAAAATATGTTGAATCGTGTCTTTCTTGTCTATACTATAAACATCCTAGTGGAAAAAAGGAAGGGTTTTTGCATCCAATAGAAAAGGTTCCCATCCCGTTTCACACCGTCCATATAAACCATTTGGGGCCGTTCATGAGATGTAAAAAAAATAACAAATATCTACTAGTTATTGTTGATGGGTTCACGAAATTTTGTTTTATAGAGCCTGTAAGAGATACTCAAACTAAATATGTGACGAAAGTGGATATTATGTATATTTTTGGCGCTCCTACTAGAATAATATCCGACCGAGGTACGGCCTTCACGTCCAAATCATTTGAAATATTTTGTAAAACGCACGGGATAAAGCACATTCTGAATGCGGTTGCCGCGCCTCGAGCTAATGGTCAATGTGAAAGATTTAATAGAACTATTTTAAACGCTCTGACGTGTACGGCTGCGGGATCAGATGATGATTAATGGGATACTTTTGTTAAACACGTTCAAAGTGCATTAAATGTTAGCTATAATACGGCAATTGGTACAAGTCCTATGTAGGCCTTAATTGGCGCTAAAAGTAAAAGTATACCAGGGCATCCCTTGCTAAGCGCTATCCAGTTAAATAATTTGCAATTGGAGGAATTGAGGAACAACATATCAGAGAAGATGACAAAAGAACAGAAGAAACAAAAAGAAAGGTTTGACAAAACCAGGAAGCCAGCAAAAGAGTACCAAGTGGGAGATGTTGTAATGGTAAATTATTCCAACACAGGTACTAGTAGGAAGCTTCTACCAAAGTTT